AATCAGGGGTTTCCAACTTACATGAGGCCGGGAGCCGCAATTAAAAACACCAGTCAAATGGCGGGCCACAACTTTATCAAAATTATATATAGAATTCTTTTATGTTTGAAGGAACATTAAATATTACTGTCAGACTTTTATCAAGTTGTACAAAACAAAAGTATTGAATAACAAGTTAAAATAAGAAGTAGATTTTTACCTGAGAAATAATTTTTTTTGCTCCGTTGGTTATGTTAAATTTCACAGAAACGAAGAAATTAGGTTTTTTTTTAACGAAAGAAAAGTATTTTAAACCCATACAGATTCTTTACGAAAATAGTCAGCAAAAAAAATGACAACTAATATATTTTAGTTCGCTGGCCGGATGTGGCCCGCGGGCCGCCTGTTGATAACCTTTGATCTAAATTCCCCGAAAAAAATTGTGATTGTTCTGAGAAAGTACTTATTAGGGTATGATTATTTTAAATTAATCAACAACAATCTCTAATTAATTTTCATAATTGAGATTAAACTGTCTTTCCATTAGATTGGTACTTAGTCCGTAATAATCCGATCATTAGAACAAAAGATGTTCGGATTGATATCTTTTTCTCTTGATTCACTGTTTTAGCTATAACTAACCTTCTTCGTATTCCCGCGGTTTATGAATAAAAGAATAGCACATAGCTTTCCACATTGATACAGTTTATGAATAACGTATGGCGATTAAATAAATTGTAAAGTTCTCATAAAAATCGTAAACAACTTATAAATGTTTTAATTTTATTTGTGGTAGAAAATTCATTAAATAGTTTTGAGAGCCTTAGACTTAAAAGGAAAGCAGAATTAAAGTAAAATTTTAGTGTGTAATAACTTTTAAATTATAAATATTTTTCTATTTATTTAATAACTGTTCTAAAAATGAAGCCAAATATATCCACTTTTCTTCTCTTATTTTAACACTGCTTTTAGTGACATAAAAAATTGAGACAGCTTTATTTTCTTAAATAAGCTCAAAAATATTCATTTTTCGTGATTATGATAATTTTCAGCCATTTGTCATTGAAAAATAAGTTATAACCAGTTTACATGAGTATAATACCTACTGCTATTCGAAATTATGAATTGAAATATAGGCAAATAGCAATAAAAAATAATTTATACGTAGTTGCAAATATTGCTGCTAGTTTAAATTTGCAGCTATATTTTAATGAGCTATGTGTTTCTTTGCATGTTATTTTCCTCTGGTGATTATAAAAAAAACCCTAAAATTCGCTATATGTGGAATATTTCAAAATGTGCCTAACTTTTTAGTTATTTCTTTAGATTATCTCTCATTTTTTTTTCATGTCAAAGACCAGCGGCTCCCAAATATATATATA